AACTTATATTGCACATGTAAGTGAGCTTGGGGTGGAAGATCCTTGAGGACCCCTTGTCTTACTGAAATTTCTGTTTAGAGATCTCACCCCACGTTTGGGGCGTTTATTTCAGGTTCAGGTAATGCGGGGGTTGAGACCTCTAGCGGCAAGAGCCCGGAGCTTAGTTGATTGATATTTATCTGTTATGCTGATTGTGCTGAGATGCTGGATATGCCTGTTGCTATTATGTCTTTAGCTTTACTATTATGTTGTTGTTGTTGAGACTTGCTGGGCTTGTTGCCTTATTTGGTGAGCATGGGGATTGTCCATGCCACATTGATTGACTATGTCCTACCTTAGATTTGAGTTGTATTAATGTATCAGGATTATGGTTCAGTCTACGTGTTGTAGTTCCGTGACTTAGATACTCACTTTTATTTATATATTGAGGTTATTTCAGTGTAGATAGCTGTTTATTTGCAATTACATACAGGCGATGTTTTATGAAAAGAATTAAGTAATTAACTTGGTAATATGAATGACGTCATAATTGAAAGTAAAAAGATATTCTGCAAATTTTATTAAGCGTGGCTTAATACGATGACATGTTAACAAATCGGGTATACACGAGGTGTTACACTATGAATTATGGAATTTTGGACAGCCAGTTCATTTATAATTCATACTCTATTTCAAAAGCAACCACCATAAAATATTTCTTTTAAAATTAAAAACAAGATCTAATTCAACAACGGCCCCCAATGAAGCTAATTGAGATAGATATAGAAAGAATCACGTACCCGATGACCAATATATTTAGCTCTTAATAGGCATTCACGATAAAGCTAAAACAAAATCCATACAAAAGCCAAAAAAAAAAATTATTTTTATTAGGCACAAAATTTCGAACACAAACACAGGGCTTTCATTGAATTGAATGGAAGAAAAACAAGGTTTTGAATCATACCTTAATGGCATTGTTGGTGAGCTCAGGCGGTAGTGCAGTTTGAAGGGATGACATTTTCAAAATTATAGACCCTGCTAGACAAAATCCCCCACAACTTAAATTCTAAAACCTCACAGAGACAATTCATCGAACAGTCCGGAGGCAGAAATGCAAATTTGGTCTAACAAAAAAATTGCATGAAACCCACCACACGAATAACGGTTTGGGAACAAGGGCACTTGCCTAAAACTGATTATGCAAAAATCAAAATCAACTTCTGAATTCGCTGAGATGAGGGAGAGTGTTCACGAGCAAAGCAAAGAAGGGAAAATAGAGACTCAACCTCGTTCTCCAAAACATCAGGGACCGAACAATGATCAGAACGAACAACCACACTGCACTTGGGTTCTCTTTCGGTGCTCCCTCGCTCGCCGAAAACCCATTCTTCCCGACGAAGATCTGGTTCTGAACAGTGCCATCGCGTCTGGCTCCTTGTATGCGATGTGGTTGAAGAGGGATTCGGGTACGAGAGAAACAGAGAAAAAGACGATGATGAATGGGAAATGAAAGAGGAAGCGCGGATAACTTGGAAAAAAGCAGGACCTTTTAGATTATGAAAATTAAAAGAAAAGGAAATAATATGTTTAAGGAGGGAAGATAACAATGAGGGAAAAGTATACTGTATGCTAATTATAAATAATTTGGGTACATACCAAATTATAAAACTCAACAAATTTTGGGATAATTAAATTATATGATTATAAGGATCATTAATTGCTAACTATAAATTAAAATAATATATTTTATGCTAATTATAAATAATTTTCTAAGAATATAAACTAATTTTGGGATCATATTTAAATTTATCGATAATGATATTATGTGCTGATTATAAATTTGTAATATTTTACATAATATTAAGCAATTGATAATTTATAAAATACATTATTAAATTCTGATTTAGAATTTGTTTATATATTTTCTTCAAATTCAAATTCAGATTAAAAATTTAATTAAATACTTTTTATATTTTAAATATTCTTTTTGAATATTTTTATATTTTATATTTGACTCACTATTTTTTTCCAAAGATTTTTTATGGAATTCAATTTTCCTTATTTTGCAGATAATTTCAAATATTAAAATCCTTAAAAGGTGGGGTAAATGTAAGAACTCACACTTTAAATTACGAATTTAAATAATTTAATATATTGAGTTTAAGAAATAATTCCATAATTGACTTTGGATAAATATGGAAAGATTAGAATAATTATCACAAGGGTTTAATAATGCTTAAAATCGTTTTCTGACGAAAAGTGCAGATACCGATTCTGCCTCACGGTATAATTGCGTATCAGTAAAGTATTCTAATCCTAGAAAAATACCTAGGACCAGAATATCAAGTTGGGAATAAGAATAATGAGCGTTGATGTCAGAACTAATACCGGCTACGTCTAAAACGCGTACTGGCAAAGTTCTGCGAAAATTATAATAAAAATATGACAAATCCTAGAAAAATGGCTAGGTTCAGAATATTAAGTTTGAGATTAAAATGATTAGCGGAGCTATTGAAACTATTATCGGTGGATTAATTTAATGCGCCTATGAATACTAAGTGTGCACTAAACCCTAAGCTGATTCCACATATTGCTACGTGACACTCAGAAGCTGTACTTTTCTCTCCACCTTGCCACCACCTCCTTCTCCAAAGAAACCTTCAAAGGAACCACCTTTCTCCATGTTTTCTTTACCAAAACATCATAGCTAGGTGTGAGCAAGCATTGTGAGGAAGAAAGGCACTCCATTTCTCAGTTGTAGCTGCTGGTTGGTGAGGGTTGAGGACTGAGTTTTTTGGTTGGTGTTGAGGGAGCCATTTACTTGGCATTTGGAGCTTCAAGGAGCTATTTGGTAGAACAAAGGACCAAGCTTGTAGCTCATTTTCGTGGTTTTATACTTGCAGCACTGTTGAGTGGTATAGAAATCACCAAGCCACCTCCTTTTTTTCTGTTTTCACAAGCCTTAAGGTAACCTTTGACCATTTCCCTTGAAAGTTCATGATTATAGCTTGTTTGAGCCATTAAAAAGGGAAACTTTGGTTGTCCAAGTTAAGGGTTGTTAATCTATGCATGATAAATGATAATGAACTTCTGTTTGTGGAGGCATTGGACTCAGAACCATTGGAGGACCCTTAAAATGGAGTTTATGGAGAAACTACACTAGTTTCTTTATTTTGTCTGAGAAGTATTCGAATAATTTTTGTGGAGTATTCGAATACTCATCAAGAGGTACTTGAATACTCATCAAGAAGTATTGGGATACTTTTCTGGGAATGGAAGTATTCGAATACCTTAATAAAAGTATTGGAATACTTTTGGTATTTGAATACTTATCAGGGAGTATTCGAATACTCAGTAGTATTCATATATTGTAGTAAAAGTATTCGGATACTGTTGGTGTTCAAATACTTTAGTGAAAGTATTGGGATACTTTCTGGGAACATGAAGTATTCGAATACTTTTCGAGGAGTATTCGAATACTTTTGGCAGATTAAGCCTAAAATCAATTAAAATAAGTTGGGAAGCTTTATATACGACATAGAACCTCAATGAAATTCTAGATTATGTATAATGATAATGTTTCTGGTATAAACAGATTGTGATTGTGCTGTTTGGTGACCGTGGACTGGTGTGGACTTTTATTTGGGACTGTTAGCTTGAGAGGTAAGCTTTCTTGTCCTTGATTTTGCCATTGTTGGTTCCACCATACCTCATGGAAGGATGGTTTATATGCATGTTGTGTTTTATGAAAATATGTGATGATTATTGATATGTTATTGAGCTATTTTATGAGTGCAAATGACATATGATATGTATGTGGTGTTCCACCTAGACGGTAATCCCTGAGTATGTGGAGACATACAAGATGGTAACTCCGTGGGTGAGGTACAAGCGAGGAGTCTTGTACTATAGGTTGTAGACGTATGTAATCCTTACCTTTTATTCTCTGGCCAGTAGGATGCTTACACACATGACATAAATATATGTTGCATTGCACAGATTATGAAATTATACTGATGTTATCTTTTGAAACTTATATTGCACATGTAAGTGAGTTTGAGGTGGAGAGATACTTGAGGACCCCTTGTCTTACTGAGATTTCTTTTTAGATATCTCACCCCATGTGAGGCACATTTTCAGGTACAGGTACCTCTGAGGTTGAGACCTCTGGTGGCAGGAGGTCGAAGTTGAGCTAATTTTTGCATGCTGCTTTACTAATGTGCCCAGATATTGATTATGCTTTACTATCAGTGTATTTTTATTTGATTTGAGACATTGTTTGGCTATGTGCCTTATTTGGTGAGCATGGGGGTTTTCCATGCCACATTAGCATCAGTATGTTTGTTTTATGCTTGAGCTGTATAATTGTATCAGGATATTATCCGGTCTATGTGTTGTAGTTGCGTGACTAGATACATAGATATTTATGCCATGAGGTTATTCAATGTAGTATTTGTTGCAATTTATATACATGCTATATTTTGAAAAGGAATAAGTAAATCCACTTGGTTAATAATGAATGGTTTCATAATTGGCAAAAGTTAGCTTCCGCATTTAATTAGTTGCGCTATTACCATATATATGTTTAATACACCGGATGCACTCGGGGTGTTACATTTTATGGTATCAGAGTACTTTCTAGGGAAAAAGCTTGTATGTATTGCAATAACTTAGGATGCCTTGTTGTGTGAATTGTCTTGTGAGTTTCCTATATGTCTTGCTATGATAATGCATGTGTGACCACATTGTTGGGCCTGATCAACTCATCATTTGTGTAACATGTGCAGAGTTAAGGTACTTCTTAGGAGGACTCGAGAGACGAATGAGGGTCAACCTGACCCGATCCTAACTACATTAGCTGAGATGCAGGCGGCTAGTCAAGCCGGCCAGGAGGCCATTAGAGTGGCCAATCAGGCCATGATAGACACCGTGAGAGAGGCGAACAGGAAAGCAACCGAAGACGTGCTTGAGGCGAACAGGTTGGCAAACATGACCATGATGCAGGTCATTAGGAGGAGATGAGGACTGGTCGTGTTGATGGACAACATCCTCCGCCACCACCTCCACCTAGTCACCATGATGGGAACGGAGGAGGAGGAACACATATTCCTGACCACGATGGTCTGAGCCACATGGAGGGTGTGAGTCACCTTACAGGTCTGATGCAACCTTATTATGAGCCAGTAGAAGATCAGGAGACGAGAGACTGTCGGCTGAATGCTTTTCATAAGCATAAGCCACATTCCTTTGATGGATCCTATGACTCCATTGTTGCTGCGAGATGGCTTCAGGCCCTGGACAAGATATTCAGGGTGATGCAGTGTACAAACCCACAGAAGTTGTTGTTTACTACTTATATGTTGGAGGGAGACGCTCACGAGTTGTGGATGAACACCTCTCAGGCCTATGGATGAACACCTCTCAGACCATTCTTTGAGGAGCTATTTTTTGGGGGATATTTTCCTTATGATGCTTGGGAGAGGAAGCAGGGAGAGTTTTAGCGCCTGCTGCAGGGCTTATTGTCGGTTGATGAATACTTAGCTAAGTTCAATGAACTAGCCAAATTTGCCCATTTTTGTATTGTTATGCCTACACCTGCATTCTTGACTTCTAAGTTTCGTAGGGGACTTAATGGAGAAATAGCAGATCACATTGCGAGTGTTGCCTCTAGAGATTTTGGTACTTTGGTTCAACAGTGTAGCAAGAAGAGGAAGACTGGGGAACCAAAGGCGAAGGGAGCTAGTGGCTCCACTTCTTGGAGAGACAGGAAATTCGAAGGAAAAGGCAAGGGAAAACAGTTTTTTGCCAGGCAGGCGCCGAACCAGTTCAAGAGGACCTCGACTCAGCAGGGGAGTGCAACTAGACCTTCCACTATTCCCAGGTGTACTGGATGTGGGAGATCACATGTTGGGCCGTGTTCCACCGGTCAGATTATTTGTTTCCATTGTGGCAAGGAGGGCCACTATGCCAGAGATTGTCCTTCTTCAGCTGCCAGGGCTGCAGCAATTCAAGCGGTTCCTTTGCAGATGGTTTTTATCCCACCTATAGCGGCACCTGTCGTGCCACCAGCCACGGGTCGAGTTTACACCCTTGATCGTCAGCAGTCGGACCGAGCTCTGAACGTTATGAAAGGTACCGTTTCCATTGGTAGTCGTGCCGATGATGTGTTATTTGGTTCTGGGGTTACACACTCTTTCATCGTGACCCCGATTGCTGTAGGGCTTGAGTTGCCCTTTTCTGTGTTTTCTCCGCCTTTGCGGATGACTACCGCCACTGAAGAAAAGTGTGATACTTCCTCTGTACACCGTGATCTAGTGTTTTAGTGGGATGACCGTGAGTATTCGGTAGACCTGATTGTTTTACCCATGGCTAATTTGGAGATCATCCTTGGCATGGACTGGTTTTCCAGGAATTATGTGATGATTGATTTTTGTGCAAAGAAAGTGGTGATGTCTCCTTGTGATTCCACTACCAACTCTTCTCCTTATCTATCAATGCTTCAAGCTTGGAGGGCCTTGAGAGCAGGGGCATATGGTTATATCATGTTGGGAGGTTTGGTGAGTGGGACACAAAGGGATATTACCGGCATTCCTGTAGTGAGAGAATTCCTCGAGGTGAAGCTGAAGCAAGCACAGAATCCCCTAAAGAGTTACTATGATAACAAGCATCAGCCACTGGAGTTCAGTGAGGGTGAACACGTGTTTGTGAAATTTTCACCTGTCACCGGTGTTGTTCGTGCCCTCGGAGTGAGGAAGCTTAGCCCGAGATTCATTGGGCCATACCGGATACTTGGTAGGGTAGGGTCTGTTGCCTACCGGCTTGCCTTGCCTCCGAACTTAGCCAATATTTATGACATGTTTCACGTGTCACAGTTGCAGAGATACATAGCGGATCCGTCGCACGTAGTGCAACCTGATGATATGAAAATTCGGGAGAAATTAAAGACTCCCATAAGATCACTCAAGATCCTTGATCGTGGTGAGAAGAAACTAAGAAGCAAGGTCATTCCCATGGTCAAAGTAAACTGGGAAGGAAGAACTCCAGAGGAGTGTACTTGGAAGCGGGAGGACGAGCTTCTCCGTCAATACCCCGAGTTTAGGGACAGGTATGTCTCTCATTTTACGGACAAAATCCTTAAAAGGTGGGGTGAATGTAAGAACCTGCATCGTTAAATTAGGAATTGAAATAATTTAATATATTGAGTGTAAGGAATAATTCCATAATTGATTTTGAATAAATGTGGAAAAATTAGAATAATTATCATAAGGGTTTAATAATGCTTAAAGTCGCTTTTCTGACGAAAAGTGCAGATACCGGTTCTGCCTCACGGTATAATTGTGTATCGGTGAAGTATCCCGAAAAATTATAATAAGTATATGAATATTCCTAGAAAAATACCTAGGACCAGAATATCAAGTTTGAAGTAAGAATAATGAGCGTTGATGTTAGAACTAATACCAGCTACGTATAAAATGCGTACCGACAATGTGCTGCGAAAATTATAATAAAAATATGACAAATCCTAGAAAAATGGCTAGGTTCAGAATATTAAGTTTGAGATTAAAATGATTAGCGGAGCTATTAAAACTATTATCGATGGATTAATTTAATGCGCCTATAAATATTAATTGTGCACTAAACCCTAGGTTGATTCCACATATTGCTACATGACACTCAGAAGCTGCACTTTGCTCTCCACTTTGCCACCACCTCCTTCTCCAAAGAAACCTTCAAAAGAACCACCTTTCTCCATGTTTTCTTTACCAAAACACCATAGCTAGGTGTGAGCAAGCATTGTGAAGGAGAAAGACACTCCATTTTTGAGTTGTAGCTGCTGGTTGGTTAAGGTTGAAGGCTGAGTTCTTTGGTTGGGGTTGAGGGAGCCATTTACTTAACATTTGGAACTTCAAGAGCTATTTGGTATAACAAAGGACCAAGCTTGTAGCTCATTTTCGTGGTCTTATACTTGCAGCATTGTAGAGTGGTATAGAAATCACCAAGCCACCTCTTTTTTCTGTTTTCACAAGCTTTAAGGTAACCTTTGATTATTTCCTTTAAAAGTTCATGATTATAGCTTGTTTGAGTCATTAAAAAGGAGAACTTTGGTTGTCCATGTTAAGGGTTGTTAATCTATTCATGATAAGTGATAATGAACTTTTGTTTGTGGAGGCATTGGACTCAGAACCATTGGAGGTCCCTTAAAATGGAGTTTATGCAGAAACTACACGAGTTTTGTAAGAACCCGCACCGTTAAATTAGGAATTTAATTAATTTAATTATGAGTTAAGAGTTAAATTCCATAATTGACCTTGAATAATTATGAGAGATCTTAAATAATTATAGTAAGTGATTAATAATGTTGAAAGTCGTTTTTCTGACGGAAAGTGCAAATACCGGTTCTGCTTCACGGTATAAATGCGTACCGATGAAGTATCCCGAAAATAATAAAAAGCATGTATATATTACTAGAATAATATCTAGGACTGATATGTCAAGTTTGAAGTCGAAATAATGAGAATTGACTTTAGGACTGATTCCGGCTACGTTAAAGCGCGTACCGACAAAGTGCTGGGAAAATTATAATAAAAATATGATAAATCCTAGAAAAATGGCTAGGTCCAAAATCCGAAGTTTGGGATTAAAATGATAAGCGAAGCTATTAATGCTAATACAGTGGGATTAAACTTAATCCGCTATAAATACTAAGTGCACAGATTTCTAGGTCAGAAATCATAAACTCCGACGTGAATTTTTTGAGGTGTTGTGCTCTCCTTCTTGCCACCACCCTTCCCCTCCATTGGAAACCTTCAAGAGGACACATTTCCTCTTGATTTCTTCACAAGAACTGCATATTTGAGTGAGCATAAGCTTTGAGTGATTGAAAGGTGCTCCAGTTTTGTGTTGAGCTTCTGAGTTGGTGAGGTTTTGGGGGCTGAGTTCTTGAGTTGGGTTGTAGGGGTCATCTTCTTGGCATTTGGAGCTTCAAGAATCTAACTTTGAAGAGAAATAACCTTGCTTGATAGCTTTTTTCGTGGACCTTTGAAGTCAGAACCTTGGGAATGGTTTGAGAGCTCCAAGAGCACTTGTGGTTTCTGTTTTGAACCTTTGGGGTATGTTCATCACCTTGACCATGAGTTTCTTTGATAAAAGTTGAGTCTTGGCATGTAAAAACAGATGAGTAGGTAACCAACACCATCACTGACCTAAATGTGTTTAAAGATGCATGCTTTAATGTTTAAAAGTGTTAAAAACGAAACCTTGGAAGGGATATCTCGCGAAATATAGAAATTGCATTCTGTCGCGAAATATCCTGATATGATATCCGGATATAGGCTTGGTGATATCCGAATATTCTGGGAATTTCGTGTTGGGCACTGTTCTGTTCATACAAAATGGTATATTGGGTTTATGGACCCATGATTTGTTAAGTTGAACCTCTGTAATAATTGAACTAAGTTAGAATCACTTGGATTTAGGGCTAATGGCTTTGAGAGAAGCCTAATGGCATGAAACGAAAATGGAAACATTGTTGTATGTCATAAACTATTAGATTATGAATGTTGATATGATTGCTGGTCTAAACAGATTGTGATTTAGCTGTTTGTGGACCTTGGGCTGTTGTGGACTCTTGACTTGGGATTGATTGCTCGCGAGGTAAGCTTTCGTGTCCTCGGTTTTGCCCATTGTTGGTTCCACCATACCTCATTGAGGGATGGTTTATATGCATGATGTGTTTTTATGAAATTATGATTATTGAAATGCTATTTGAGTTGTTAAGTGCAAGTGCCTTATGATATGTTTGTGTTGTTCAACCTAGACGGTAAGCCTGAGTATGTAGCGTCATACAAGATGGTGATTCTGTGGGTGAGGTACAAGCGGTGTTCCTTGTACTGGAGGTCGTAGACGTATGTAATTCCTACATATTTATTCTCTGGCCAATAGAATTTTCGTACAATAACAGTTTTCATGCTAGCCTGGGCATGGCACCCTATGAGGAACTGTATGGTATGAGGTGTCAGACTCCTACCTGTTGGTCTGAGGTTTGGAATCGAGAGTTGTTTGGCTTGGACTTTGTTCAAGAGATTACCCAGCAGATCCAGATGATTAGAGAGAAGCTGAAGCAAGCGCAAAATCGCCAAAAGAGTTATTATGATAACATGCATCGGCCACTGGAGTTCAGTGAGGGTGAACACGTGTTCGTGAGACTTTCACCTGTCACCGGTGTTGGTCGTGCTCTCGGAGTGAGGAAGCTTAGCTCGAGATTCATTGGGCCATACCAGATATATGGTAGGGTAGGGCCTGTTGCCTACTGGCTTGCCTTGCCTCCAAACTTGGCCAACATCCATAACGTGTTTCACGTGTCACAGCTTCGGAGATACATAGTGGATCCTTCGAACGTGGTGCAACCTGATGATGTGGAAATTCGAGAGAACTTAAAGACTCCCGTAGGACCACTCAAAATCCTTGATCGCGATGAGAAAAAGCTTAGGAGCTAGATCATCCCTATGGTCAAAGTGCAATGGGAAGGAAGAACTCCAGAGGAGTGTACTTGGAAGTGAGAGGATGAACTTTTCTGGCAATACCCCGAATTTAGGGACAGGTATGTCTCTAATTTTGCGAACAAAATTCCTAAAAGGTGGGGTGAATGTAAGAACTCATACAGTTAAATTAGGAGTTTTAATAATGTAATTAAGAGTTTAGGAAATAATTTCATAATTGACTTAGAATAAATATGGGAAGACTTAAATAACTATTAAAATGGCTTAATAACGCTGAAAGTCGCTTTTCTAATGAAAAATGCAGATACCGATTTTGCTTCTCGGTACAAAGGCGTACTGGTGAAGTATACCGAAAAAATTTAATAAGTACATTAATATTTCTAGAATAATACCTAGGTCAAGTATATCAAGTTTGGAGTCATAATAAAGAGAACTGACGTCAGAACGGATACCGACTACGTAAAAATGCGTACCGGCAAAGTGCTGCGAAAATTATAATAAAAATATGAAAAATCTTAGAAAAATGACTAGGTTAAGAATCTGAAGTTTGAAGTTAAAATGATCAGCGGAGCTATTAGCACTAATACCGACAGATTAATTTAATGAGCCTATAAATACAAAATGCACAAAACCCTAGGCTGATTTCCATCAGTTTCTACATGAGTTTTCTGAAGCTTTGTGCCTCCACCTTTCCACCTTCATTGTTCCTCAAGAAAAAGCCCAAGTGATCACCTTTCTTCATGCTTTCTTCACCAAAACACTATAGCTAGGTGAGAGTTAGCATTGTGAGGAGAAAGGCCTTCCATTTCTGAGTTGTTGTTGTTGTTTGATGTGAGTTGAGGGCTGAGTTCCTTGGTTTGGGGTGAGGGGGTCCTTTTCTTGGCACTTGGTGCTTCAAGAAGCTACCTTTGAAAAAAAAGGACCAAACTTGGTGATCATTTTCGTGGCCTTGTGAAGTCAGAACCTTAGAGCTGTGTGGGAAGCTCCAGGATCATCTTTGGTTTCTGTTTTGAGCCTTTGGACTGTGATTGTGCTGTTTGGTGACCTTGGGATGGTGTGAACTCTTGTTGGGATTGATTACTTTAGAGGTAAGCTTTCGTGTCATCGATTTTGCCCATTGTTGGTTCCACCATACCTCATGGAGGGATGGTTATATGCATGCTGTGTTTTTATGAAAATATATGATGATTCTTGATATGCTATTAAGCTATTTTATGAGTGCAAGTGCCATATGATATGTATGTAGTGTATCACCTAGACGGTAACCCCTGAGTATGTGGAGACATACAAGATGGTAACTTTGTGGGTGAGGTGCAAGCGATGTTCCTTGTACTGTAGGATGCATACTCACATGTAATCCCCACCTTTTATTCTCTGGCCAGTAGGATGCATACATACATGACATGGATATATGCTGCATTGCATAGATTTTAGAAATTATACTATTGTTACTGTTTTGGAACTTATATTTCACATGTAAGTGAGCTCGGGGTGGAGAGATCCTTGAAGATCCCTTGTCTTACTGAGATTTCTTTTTAGAGATCTCACCCCGTGTTAGGGCACATTTTCAGGTACAGGTACCTCCGAGGTTGATACCTCTAGTGGCAGGAGGCTGAAATTGAGTTGATTATGCATGCTGATTGCTGATATGTCTGGATAATGATCATGCTTTATTTTCAGTACATTGTTAATTGATTTGAGACTTGGTTTGGCTTTGTTGCCTTATTTGGTGAGCATGAGAGTTGTCCATGCTACATTGATATCAGTCATGTTTGAGTTTACTTGAGTTGTATAATGTATCAGGATATTGTCTGGTCTACATGTTGTAGTTCCGTGACTAGATACACAGCTAATTATACTAAGAGGTTATTCAGTTATTTATTTATTGCAATTTACATACGTGCGATATTTTGAAAAGGAATAAGTAATCCACTTGGTTAATAATAAATAGTTCATAATTGGAAAGAAAAAGTTAGCTTCCGCATTTAATTAGTTGCGCTATTACCATATATATGTTTAATACACCGGATGCACACGGGGTGTTACAACATACAATGTATTCTATCATAATCTAGTGCAATTACATACACAGCATAATCCACTACTCCCTCAGAGCATGGTAGAACAAAAGTAGGATAAATCTCAAGGTCCGAAAGCTTATCTCTTGAAACTTCCAACACAATGCTTACTTGTAATCCAAGAAAGCAATCACACACTTCTAAAACTTCATCTTTCAACACTACATCACTTATCTCCAACCTAGTTTGTCAACCAAGAATAATCAAAACCCGTTAAGGTTCAATTCAAGTGTCAAATACTAAAAATCCAACACTTTACATATCCAATCAAATTTGCGAAAATCATGCTAAAGTTGGTTTCAATTCACTTCCTTCATCTCAAATACTCTCTTATCACATTTGAATGCCAACACATACCGTAAATAAAAGTCATGACCTAATTGTCCTCAAATATTATAGAATGGTCATATTATGCCATATTTCTTAAACCAAGTTAAAAGTTTAGTTTTCACACCTTCACAACACTTGAAATAACCATGAATACCTGTTCTAAGTTCGAAATAATGAAATTTAATATAAAATTATTAATATGACTTTTACCTATAAACTTAAATTTTTTGGTTGGATTGTTTGATTAGATATTTTCCCTATAATTTTCTCCACAATTTTTTTTACCATTATTTCTGTTATCTCCAACATTATTTCCCTTTAATAATTTCCCCGGATTTTGTTGTCATTATTTCCGTTGTTTCCAGCATGATTCTCCACAGATTTGATTGTTATTATTTCTATTATCTCTAACATATACACATATCTCATTACAAATTTAAGGTTTATTACTATTCACGTTTCTATGCACACGCAATAATGGAAGACCTTTGCGCTCCTCCAATTAATATTCTAAATTTTGTCAGATGATGTTGATGTATAGGATAATTTACAAATTTTAAAAAATAAATTAATTCATCTCTTTTTTCTTGTACCGTTAATGTTTTTTCTTCTCTTATTCAACTTATGATCATGTCTCGTTCTATTTTTATTTTATTTTTCCATTTTGGGAAAATGCCTCATGCTAGCTCTTGCCTTTTTTTTAAATTCCTTTTGAGAAGTGTGACCAAAAGATGACTGGTTTACTGGGAATTTTTTTTTTTCAAAAGCAGGGGGAAACATTTGTTAATTAAGAAGAAAAAAAAATGCCAACTTGATGGTTCTGGCATTAACAAGTTTGAATCTTGTGTGGTGCAACAACGGAAAGCTCCTTGTTCGTAATTCATTATATTTAACCACCTTGCAGTACATATATATACGTACGCAAATTGTAATGATTTACTGAAGTTCTAGCTTTAAAGGAAGAATCCCAAAATTCCGATACTAACGACTAGTTTGGTAATGCTAATTCGTTTATCAATTATCCCATAAGTGTAACCATTTACTTGCAATCAAATTGAAATGATCAAGAATTTACCGGAAAAAAAAATCAACACGAGAAAGAGATGGGCAGAATAAGGTTCTTTTATTAAGCTCTCAATAAGAATGCATTACACCAAATTCAAAAAGAAAAAAAATAAAATAAAAAATAAACCTGTGTCATGTAACACATTAAGCCATATGCAATTTATTTATTAGTTGAAGTAACTATTTGGAGAAGGTCATTAACACGAGGCAATCTTAACGTTGAAATAAATATTTCAATTGGATTGAAATGGGCACGATTCATGTTTGCAAACTAGTTGTTGTTGTTGTACCAGGGTTGCTTCTGAAGATAATCAATTACGCTCTTGTCCACTTGGAAAGCTTTGGTAAGAACATACGGAGAAATAGGTGGATTTGATTTAAACAGAGCATTTGCAATTGTGATAACTCCTGGATTTTGACTACTGAGAGCAGCAATGGCAACAACATTAACGTTTCCCACATTAAGTTGGAAATGAATGAGACCAATTGGGAAGACAAACACATCACCCTTGTTCAGCACTTTGGTAAAGAGACGATTGTTATCTTGATTTGATGTCACAAATCCAACAAGGAGAGTGCCTTCAACTACTATAAGGATCTCTGAGCCACGTGGGTGAGTGTGAGGAGGGTTTAAACCCTTGGGTGCAAAATCAATGCGAGCCAATGATATCCCAAGTGTGTTTAGTCCGACTAGTTCAGTAACACTCACTGGAGTCACTTTTGAGCCGAGTGGGTTTCTAGTATTCCCTGGTTCAACATGCTTGAAGAAATCTTCAGCCGTGACAAGTTTTGGGTCTTTGCAGAACTTTCCATTCACAAATACTGAAAAAAAAAAAAAAAACAAGAGAATGAGAATGTTTTAATAACAAAGAAAGTCAATTATATAGTTATTCATGACATGATCTAAATGTAGAAATAAACTTAGAATTCGAATAGTAAGACTTATGAAGAATGTGTATACATACCACCATCATTGGGGTCATTGATTGCCACACAGAAATCTTGGAGAGGGCTGGGGTCATAAGCATAGGCAACAGAGGATGCCAAAGCCAAGATGGCAACGAGGAAGTGGACAACTTTCATTTTGCCAAATTATTCTGCTTTAGTAATTGCTTGTGAGAATTAATTGAATTATGTTGCATGTTAAACTTGATATTTATAGGGAGGAACCGTTGAATTGTTATTCAGTTTATATATATTTAGGGTAATTAATTATCTATTTGATGGATGAACGATTCTTTAACAACTACACGCGCGCGTGCCTGTTCAAAGAGTAGACTAAGATGCTCCACAACTAAGTCAAAATAAATGTTTCAGTATTACCTCGTCCAATTACCTCGTCCAATTAAGTCAAAATAATTAATTATCTGTTCAAAGAGTATTTCTCGAAATATTGCTTTTACAACGGGGAGACTAATTAAGAAGCTAAATCAAAGATTTGTTAGGACTCGATCTTATATATTTCTTCGTACTTAATACTACAAATTAACTATTTATTTGGTTTAAAGTTTAAATATCATAGTTTGTGGAAGAGGGAAAATTTTCTTGGAATGGGTCAAAATCGGAACATCATAAATATATATTAACAAGGAAAAAAAGAGAGATCATTTCAGATTTATTTTGTCAATAATTAAAGGCTCGGATTGTGATCACAAATTGTAATGTTGGTTTTGGTTAGATCTCCTTTCCGTTGCTATCAGACTATATGAAATGAAATTATTTTATAAATAAAAGTGGCGGTGTTTAATAATTGTTTTAAGGGATGAGATGGTATAAAATGGATTTAAGCGGTTTGCATTACTTAATTATTTAATTTGTTCATAATTGAAAAATGATTTGGAACGATATTAATTAATATTTAAACTTTTAAAATTTAGGTAGTTGGAAGTCAATAAATAATTATTTGAATGATTTATAAAATATATCGTTGATATTTTGCAATTCTATTTGAGTTTACCTCCAATAACACATACATTATTTTATTTCTTTAGAAATGAGGTTTCTATTTTATACATATAAATTGATTTCGATTGGATATTTAATTTTTTTCATCTTTAATGTTTGATTACAGCATCATACTATCATATTATTGTATTGATATTTTTTGTATTTTTTAATGTTTTTCTGAAAACACTGATTTGAGAATTTCTTTAATTTATCATCTAGTTAAATATTAATTTTATATGTTGTCACATTCCGCTTATTATAAATCCTATATATTAATTACTCACTGAGTTGCATTATAACTTACCACAAATTTAATTATATTTTTGCATGTATAGTTAGTTATAGAGTTAACTTCTAATTGCAGTCCTTCAGTTTGATGGTGGGAGTTGTTTGGTTTTCGGTGGTGAGCCGTACACGTCGTTCTTTATGGACAAGTTTTAAATTTTTAATATGTGTAGAAGACTTAGTTTTATATTCTAGAGTTGTTCTATTATTTCTATAAGCGGGTTAATTGAAAATTTTATAAATCTAATACAAATTAGGTATCTCGACTAATCGGCAGTAAGATTAAGTTTAGCCTAGGGTATGCATGGGTCAGGTCGGGTCAGATTTTTTGCCGACTCGACCCAACTTGGTTTTTATAGGTCAAGTATTTTGACCCGACTCGCTTTAATTTGATCCAAGTCAGGTCTGACTTGGTTTGGATTTTTTTAAACTAGTTCAGAACCGGGTCAGATCTGACCAGACTTGATTTCTGAAGTGGGTCTGACTTGATTTTTGAAGTGGGTCAAATCAGATCTGACCCGTTTTTGACTTGGTTTCGTCACAAAATTTCGTCGAAATTTCTGCGTTGCAAATGACAAAAATTTCTTCATAAAATTATTTTTTCGTCGGAATACTTTTTGTCGAAAAGCGACGGGATTTTTTCTCTAATGAAAATTTTAACAAAAATAAATCTTTTATCGAAATTTAATTTTCTTCAAAAGTTTTGACGAAAATGATTTCCTCCATCAAATGTTTTAAACGAAAAAAGAATTTCGTCAAAAATTTTGACAAAATGTTTTTCGTTCAAAATTTCGATGAGAATGTGTTTGGACGAAAATTGTTTTGAGGGAAATGTTTTATTCGAAACTTTCGACGAAAAGTATATTCTCTAAAGAATTTTGACAGAATATGTTTTCCGTCAAAAAAATTTATCGAAATATATTTTGTCAAAAAAATTTACGAATTTTTTTGACAGAAATGTGTTCCGTTGAAAATTTTGAAGGAAACATTTTTTGCGAAAAATTTTGATTGAAATATTTTCCGTAACAAATTTTGACGTAATTGTTTTACGTTAAAACTTTTCTTTTAATGTAATTGTGAATTTTTTTCTTTTTTTTCACATAATGGGTATGGGTCAAATTTTTGGTCAATGGGTCATTATACTAAAACAAGTCAGGTCTAAAACTGACCCAAATGAAAGTGGATCAGTATTTAAACTAGTTCAAAAAAATGGGTATTTATGGGTCAGGCCAAAGTCAAATCAAGAGCAGATCAAGTGAACCAGTTTTTTTGCACACCCCTAATTTAACCTATGCACCACCGGTCATAGATCCAAGTTTGTGTCGTGACATATAATGTTTCAGATATAATAAATATAATTTTTCGCAGCTCCAAAAGAAAAAGAGAATTAAAACTTTGTTGAAAAAGAGAAATTTGATACAATTTTTTATGATGGCTTAGGTTGGAAAGAAACTCATATTTTTAAAAGAATTAGGAAGAATAAAAAAATTCTCATTATTAAAATATTTAAGTATCATATTTCTTCAATAAAGTACTCTTCTATTAATCCCTTGTTTCATAAAACTTAATAATTCTTAGAAACTAAAATAGTCCAAAGTTTAAAATGAAGAATTTAGTACTTTGGTCAAAAATAAAAATGAAGGTTTTTATCCAAAATTCCTATACTAACGGTGAGGCATAAAGAATGCAAAACCTGAGGAGACAACAAAATTCCGTTACAGCAGCTGTCGCCACATTATATGAACAATCTTTGGTGATATGTACGGCACAATTGTTGGTGTTTAATTTACTAAGTATTTTTAATTATATATATATATATATATATATATATATATATATATATATATATATATATATATGGAAAAATATTTTCGCAGTTAATGCAGAGAAGTTATCTGTGACGTTGTATTGGCTTACTGCAGATAACTTATCGGCAGTAACTGCAGAAAAAACGAACCCATATATATATATATATATATATATATATTGTGATTACCAAATAGAGCTTAAATTAGTTGAAGAATTTCAAATTCCTCGTTATGTATGTTGCTGTCCGACAGATAATTAATGTCGCTAAAGCCATGACAATTCGGTAATATTGCTATTAGTCAATTAATTATGGAGAATGAGCATTACCATTTGCGTGCAAGTGAATTAACATGTGCAAGTGCAAGAATGTAGCAGGAATAAAGAAAAAACTAAACAAAAAGAGAGGACAATAAATGATTCTTTTATTAAACTCACAATAATATTGTATTCAGCGAAATTAAAGTACAAAATAATAGCTGCGGAGTATAAAATATAAGTTAGCCCACTTGCATTTTATTTATTATTATTTATAGTAACTATATTTTCGGAGAAGCTAAAATCAAACAAACACCCCTATCGGATTGAAATAACGATTCATGTTTTCAAACTAGTTGTTGTTGTTGTACCAAGGTTGCTTCTGAAGATGACCAATTAAGCTCTTGTCCATCTGGAAAGCTTTGGCAAGAATTTCGGGAGAAATAGGTGGAGTAGAATTAAACAAAGCATTTGCAATTGTGATAAGACCTGGATTTTGACTACCGAGACCAGAAATGGAAACAGCGTTAACCTTTCCCACATTAAGTTGGAAATGAATGAGACCGATTGGGAACACAAACACATCACCTTTATTCAGCACTTTGGTGAACAAACGATTCTTGTCTAGGTCTGAACTGACAAATCCAACCATGAGAGAGCCTTCAATTACTATAAGGATCTCTGTGGCACGAGGGTGAGTGTGTGGAGGAATTAAACCATATGGTGCAAAATCAATGCGAGCCAAAGATACGCCAAATGTGTTTAGTCCTAATAGTTGAGTATCAAAAACGGGAGTGACTTGTGCGCCGAGTGGGTTAGAGACATTCGCGGCATTCACATGTAGAAAGAAATCTTCAGCTGTGACAAGTTTTGGGTCTTTGCAGAACTTTCCATTCACAAATACTGCAAATTAATATGACAAAGATTTTATATTAAAAAAATAAAAAAGTTAGTTATATAATTATTCATGACATGATCTAAATGTATAATAAACTTAGAACTTGAGTTATAAGACTAATTAATGAGGAATATGTATATATACATACCACCATTGATGGGGTCATTGGTTCCCACACAGAAATCTTGCAGAGGGCTGGGGTCATAAGCATAGGCAGCAGAGGATGCCAAAGCCAAGATTGCAACGACCAAGTAGACAGTTTTCATTTTGTCTCTCACTAGCTATTACTCTTAAATGATTCTGCTTTAGTAATTGCTTGTGAGATTTGATTGAATTATGTTTCATGTGAAGCTTGATATTTATAGGGAGGAACCGTTGAATTATTCTGCAGTTTGTCTTTACCGTAATTAATTCTCTATTCTTCGATGATGAACGATTCTTTACCAACTACTCGCGTCCTTAATCACTATTATATATGCAAAAGGCAAAGGAAAGAGACCGTTTCATATGATCCTGTCAATAATTATTTAAAGACTGATTACATTCCGTTGCAGGGATTCTGAATTTTTCGACCCCTGTACCCTTTTCCAATTGCAATGACATATATGATGCCAATATAATAACCATGTGTTTAGTTTTACAAGACACCAAAATATAAAGAAAACAAATTTCTCTATTAGCCATACGTACGTCAGTTTGACGGCTTCAAAAATGAGTAGACAAACTGACCATAATACCTTATACTATCTTATTGGATAAACATGACCGGTAACAAAAATGGACCCTTAAAAGTTGAACATGTGAATGATATTACAACGACGTTTACTTCTGATAAGAGATATAATCAAACTTTTTAGGCCCCTCCTCCTCTGTGAAGTCTTTTAGACCGGCAACTGTACCCTTTCCCAATTGTAAAGACACGATGCCAATATATTAACCCTGTGTTTGGTTTTACAAGATACCAAAATATGAAGAAAACAAATTTCTCGATTAGCCATACCTACGGCGGTTTGACAGCTTCAAAAATGAGTAGACAAACTGACCATAACACCTTATATTATCTTATTCAATAAACATGACCAGGTAACGAAAATGAACACTTAAAAGTTTAAAATGTGAAAGTACGTCTTTATATACTCGGCTTATGTATTTAAAGTTTTTCTTTTTTGTTAGTTATCATGATCATACCCCCAATTGATAAGCCACTTAAGAAGGAAGATAAGACATTTTTCCTCAACTCGCCTCGAACTCCGAAGTAGTCCATAGGCAGCTCAAAAAATCCAATTCGTAGAATTATTGGGGTGAAAACCAAGAAAAAATAAAATAAAATAAATTATCATACCCATACAGCAACATATACGTATAATTATTTCCAAAAAAAAAAACATATACGTATAATTTGTAATGGGCCAAATAATAATATGGGATTATAAGGAAGGAGTTCCTACTTTCTATTTGACTAAGTAATAGAAGTGCCCCATTGAACTTATATTTAAGGTTACACCTTTGTCAATACTTAAAAAACAGAAGGGTTCTTCTCCCTTTTCGTCTTTCTTTTCACACAGTCATTTTTTTAACTTGGAAGACTTTAGAACCTTTAGATAATTTTCTAATGTAAATCAAACAATACGTCCATACATATTTTAAACAAATCCAAAAAATTTATATGTTATTTGAATTTTGCATCATCTCTTTATTTATTGAATTTTTTTTTTTTGCTAAATATTTATTGACTTTATTTTGGGGTTGAATCCACAATTTAGAGTTTTTATAAAAAACAATTCCGGCTGATTCATTGAAAATCGAAGTAATTAATCTAGATTAAATACAGTTTTATGAAGGGCAATTCTTCGAAGATCATTTTCTTCACTCGCAAAGTTTGATCTTATGAACTCTCGTTAAGACTAACAATTCCTTTAATCAATAATTATTAGTGCGCTTTCAAGTTTTTTTTCCCAGTGTTTACATATGTTATGGACCAATTAAATGGTGGTAAAAGTTAAGCAGATAGAGGTGAGAGCATGTGTTTGATTATCCCTAATATCACCTTTGGAAGGAATTTAAAATCTTAATCCTACACCCGCCCCAAATCGGACTATTCGCGAAACAATGAACCGATTGAAATATTTAAAAAAAAAATAATAATTTCCTTGAATCAATAATTATTGATGGGCTTTCAAGTTTTTTCCCCCAATGTTTAGATGTATTATGGACCAGTTAAATGGTCCCACTTACTATCCGAATTTCATGAAACACCTCAGTTTCCCACTCTCTCTCAACCTCCCACCACTACATATAACCACCCACTAGGCATTGTATGAGACCATTAAGTCACCTGAAAAACCTCCTAGTGCACTTCATTTATAAATGGCTTCCTATAGCAAAAGAACAAACATGTTCTTCAGTTATAATACCTCGCATTTCTAAAACCTGTAATTATATATGAAATGTAGATTAAAGGGTAGGATTAGTGAAAATCCTGAAATTAAGGTCAAAATACAAAGGAAGGGTAAAATAGTAATTAGCCAAACACACAACCCTATGAAGGTAAAATTGAGTAGGAAGTCTCAAATGATAAAAATAACCCTGGAAATGGATTCAGAACGAAAAAATTGAGTGGATAGGCAAGTTTCAGAAAATTCAGTGAATAGGGTTTTTACCGGGTAAAAATAATGCGGTACAATTGCACCGTAAAACGTGTCGATTGAGTTTTGAGCTCTAGGTTCGGATATAAGTTATAAGTGGTGTATAGAACTAGGAAATATAATTTCTGATGAAATTTGACGAAAATTAGTGAGTTTGGGGAAGCGTGCCTACGGTGCGTGTAACAGCTTAAAACTGCATTTTCTCCGAACGATCGGAAAACTCCGGATTCATCTGATCAAGGGTAATTAAAGGAAAATGGTTAATGTTAAAAATTTGAGTTTCTAAATAGGTTATGAAATTATGGACGTTTAGTGAAATCAGAGGGAGTTTTGAATTAATTTGAAAACGCGTGAGATGGCGGTGGGACCCACCCCACTTAAGTGAACCTTGCCACATGGCAAAGCCACCATTACATCATCATCTTCCTCCCCTCACTCCTCTCAAACCCGCAGCTAGGGGTGTTAACGGGCCGAGCCGAGCCGAGTTTGATCTTAACGGGCCAAGCCTGTATTTAAACGTGTCCGACTGGCCTTAGCCTGTTACCTGTTACGAATATAATATTGTCCTGTGGCCTGGTTTATTTACAAAAAATAAAAGCCTGTGTGAAGCATGTCTTAGCTTGTTAGCATGTTAAAGAATAAAAATAAGAGAACAGAATTCCACAAAAAATCAATTTCCAGATAGAAACCTTAGCTTCCAATTTGCAGCAATAATTTACAAAGTCTACAATAAATAAATAAAATTAAAGTGAGAGAAGGTAGATAACAGGTTATATTATTTTAGCCCATTATAAAAAAAGTGCCAACAAAAATAAAAATAAAATAAATAAAATAAAAAATAAATTGATACAAACGAGCAGTGCACAGTGGAACAAATGAGTTTTTGTGGGTTTGTTTGTGTGAAGGAGGATGAAGGATAATATAGAACAACACTAGTAATTCCATAAATATATATAAATTCAATATATATCCAAATAGCATAATATAGAACAAAATCATTCAAAAAGTCTGTTAAACCAATAAAATGAGGTGAAATAAATTGATGAGAGAGAGTTATTACAAGTAGTAAAAAGTATAAATAAATATTTATATACTAGGCTAGCCTGGGAGGCTCTAAGGCCGAGCTTCTTAATTAGAGCCTGAGGCCTTTTTATTAAACGAGCTTTTATACAAGTCCAAGCCTGGTTCCAACACGAGCTTTTATTAAACGAGCTCAGGCCTTTACGAGCCGAGCCAAAGGCCCCTGGCTCGTTTACCACCCCTACCCGTAGCCCCCCATTGGAGAACAAAGTTGGGCTTCAAAACTTCATCCTCTCATAACTCACTCAATACTCAACCGAATCCAATGAAATTTGTCATCAAACTTCAAGTAAACGACGATCCGGACTCAACCGTACCATCCATTAACCTTGAAACCCTCCCATTTGTGAGATAATGGGCAAAGTCAGCCACGAAAATGGAGAGGATTTTTGTGATTTTGGAGTTATTTGCTCGAGCCATTGCTTGGAGATCAGTTGGAGGAGTCTTGTGACTTAATTGTGGGTAAGTTTCAACACCTTTCATGGAATGATTTGATGATTTAATTTCGTGAAAACCTAGAGCTTGTATGCTTTATTTATGGAGTTAGAGAGCTCAAAATGAGACTGTGTATTAGATAAATATGTCTTAGAATGATGTGTTGGTGTTATAAATGCAATAAAATTTATTGCGGAAATGTGCTCATAACTTAAGAAATTTTGATGAGAATCCAACACTTTGTGATTTTGAATTGTTTTAGGATTGTGTAATTGAGTTGTTGTATGGTTGTATGATGTAATAATGGGATTGTATGAGGTGTGGAGTAGTTGAATTGGATGGAATGATCCTTGGTATAGGCCTATATATGATGATTTCGGCCAAAGAGGGGAAAATGGGGTGTTGATATTGTGAAATTGTATGATTGGTATGTTGTGGTGTCAAATGGTAATTAGAAGGGTTGTGTGATAAATTGATACTTTGGAAATCAAAAGAAAAATGGTTGGATTGTATGAAATTGGAAATTGAACCTAGAGTGAAATTAATGGCAAAATGAGGTTGTGATGAAGTAGGTTGCAAATTGGCACCTAAAATGACATCGGGGGTAGCCTTGGGATGCTAAAGAAAAATGAAATGAAAATAAAGAAAAATAAATTGTATATTAACACTATAATGGCCGACCCACACCCTTGGTGGGGGTGGATCTTGCCATTTTTGGATTTTGATAGATTTACCGTGTGTTGATGATCCATATATGGTCATTGTAGGTTGCCTTTCACGGATTTGAACCTCGAACCGTGAGCTCGGTTGGTTGCCCCTGGTCTCGGACCAAAAGGGATTGAGGTAAGTCTTTTGGAACCATGCATATATACTTGTTGATTGCATGTGTTGGTGTTTATACAGAAGATTGGGAAATATATTGCATTGGAGCTGTGGGAGAGGATTGTACAGGTAACCTCTTGGTACTAGGGTTTGATCCCCTTGTGTGTTCCACCATGCCCATTGAGGGTAATGGTAGGAAGTGTATGTAAATAATATAGGATAACATGTTCATGCATATTGTATGTGTGGTGGTATATAGGATGCACCGTGTCTCTGGCCAGTAGACTGTTTGCCTTCGGGCGTTA